CCCTCTGGACCCCACCGTCAGCCCCACAGTGCCCACTGTCGGGTACCTTTTTGGGTGCACTTAGCTTTTCAATTAAGATATTCGTGAATTTAATTTAATTCTAGAAATTTCCAGAGTATTGTTAAAACTTTAGAAAATAATGTAAAATAATCCATAATTCGGATGTAAATACTTTGTACATGAAAGTTGCTCAGAACGACAAGACGAATCCGAATATGTAGTCCGTTCGTCCGCCACGCAACCCTAGCATAGCGAATATGCAACAATCCACCTCCAGTTCATCTGTCCAAAAACATCAAACACCGGGAATACTTTCCCGGATGTTTCCCCCTTTTGCTGGTATCACCTACTACCGCGTTAGGGCACACCTAGCATCGCTCATTGTCATGCCATGCATCTTCATGTATATGTTTGCATTATATTTATGGTTTCTTACCCCTCTTCTCGCCGGTAGACTACGAGACTAACGCCGCTGCTGCCCAAATCTACTACGGTGTTGATGACCCGTCCTTCTCTGCCGAGCTTCCAGGCAAGCCACGCCCCTTTGATCAACCCAATATCGCCAATTCCTTCTCTCTACTTCTTGCATTAGAGTAGTGTAGCATGTTACTGCTTTCGGTTAAACCTATTCTACTGCATAGCCTGTCTTTGGTATTACTGTTGTTACCTTTACCTGCAATCCTAAATGCTTAGTATAGGATGCTAGTTTATCATCAGTGGTCCTACATTCTTGTCCGTCTGCCATGCTATACTATCGGGTCGTGATCACTCGGGACGTGATCACGGGTATATACTTACATACATTATATATGATACATGTGGTGACTAAAGTCGGGTCGGCTCGTAGAGTACCCGCAAGTGATTCATGGATTGGGGGCTGAAAGGACATACTTTCCCAACGGCCCTCTGTGTGGATCTTTGTGGCGGAGCGACAGGGCAGGTTGTGACCACCTAGGAGACAGGTGGGCCTGGCCCCTGGTCGGCGTCCGCAGTTACTTCTAAATAACACACTTAACAAGATCTTGGTATTTGATTTGAGTCTGGCTATGAGCCTATACGCACTAACTAACTACGTGGGAACAGTTATGGGCACTCGACGTCATGGTATCAGCCGAAGCTCTTTTTGACGTCAGCGACGGAGCGGCGCGCGCTTGATTGGACCGTTAGCCCACGCTTGTATTAAGGGGGCTGGGTCTGCTTCCGGCTGCCCTCGCAATGTGCAGGAGTGCAATGGGCGATGGGCCCAGACCCCTGCGCGCTTAAGATTTAGACCGGCGTGCTGACCTCTCTGTTGAGTCTAGGTGGGGCTGCGACGTGTTGATCTTCCAAGGCCGGGCATGACCCAGGAAAGTGTGTTCGGCTAGAGGGATCGAGCGTGTTGGGTAATGTGGTGCACCCTTGCAGGGAAGTTCATATATTCGAATAGTCGTGTCCCTCGGTAAAAGGACGACCCTGAGTTGTACCTCGACCTTATGACAACTAGAACTGGATACTTAATAAAACACACCCTATCAAGTGCCAGATACAACCCGGTGATCGCTCTCTCAGAGGGCGACGAGGAGAGGATCATCGGGTAGGATTGTGCTATACGATGATACTTGGTGGACTTACCAGCTATTCTCTTCTATCTGCTTCAAGATGGAGGCTGCCAGAAGCGTGGTCTTCGCTAGGACTAGTTTCCCCCTCCTATTTTGGCATTCTGCAGTTCAGTCCACAGATACTACCTATTTCATTGATACCAATGCATATGTAGTGTAGACCCTTACTTGCGAGTACTTTGGATGAGTACTCATGGTTGCTTTGCTACTTATTTCCCCCCTTTTCCCGGTTATTGTGATCATATGATGGAGTCCAGGAGCTAGAGGATCCTGAGAATGATTCTACGTGGAGTTTGACTTCGAGGAGTAGTTAGGAGGTCCCAGGTAGGAGGCCTTGCCTGTTCGATCGTTGCTACTTTTGTGCTAGCCTTCTTAAGGCAAACTTGTTTAACTTATGTCTGTACTCAGATATTATTGCTTCCGCTGACTCTTGTGTCTTCGAGCATTTGTATTCGAGTCTTCGAGGCCCCTGGCTTGTAATATAAAGCTTGTATGATTTTAATTTGTGTCTAGAGTTGTGTTGTGATATCTTCCCTTGAGTCCCTGGTCTTGGTCGTACACATTTGCATGCATGATTAGTGTACGGTCAAATCAGGGGCGTCACACCACTCGAGCATGCTGAAGAGCCCCCCATCAAGGCCCACTCCAAGAGGAAGGCCCCTTTCCCCCGGCGATGCTGCCGGCGTCGGAGCCGCCATCTCACACGCAGTCAGTCTTCGTCGCCGCCAGATTGACTTGGCGACCGCGGGAGCCCCCCAGTTTGTTTTTGCAAAAGTGGCTAGATCGTTCTGAACGTGATGTTTTGCAATTGCTCCACATATGACAAAACCCCGTTGTTTTACCCTTAGTGGCAACAATACAATACGTTCCTTGGCCCTTATTATCAGTAGGCTAGGCCACCGCAAGATTGAAGCTAGTACAAAGGACCACTCCCTCTTAAGAAAAATCCATTGAACTTGGCCAAAGAAGACAGATACATTGGAGAGCATGCAAAGCTATTTAATCATACAACAAATAAAACCTCAAAAGATCCAATTGATTTCAGTAAACAATCTGATCATAAAGTGACAATTCATCATGCCCCAACAAACACCATAGATTAGATCGAATTGATCCTGATCATGTGAGAAAGCTCATGGGAACATTGTATTGAAGATCCAGAGAGAGAGAGAGAGTCATCTAGCTACTACTATGGACCCATAGGTCCTAGTGGAACTACTCACACATCGTCATGTAGGCAGCAAGGTTGATGAAGAAGAGTACTCGGGGAATGGCTTCCCCCTCTGACGGAGCTCCGTAAAAGTTCTCCAGATGGATCTTCGTGGAACAGAAACTTGTGGTGGCGATAAAATTCTTCTAAAAATATGCTAGAGGGTTTCAGTATCTATATGGATTTACGGCGGTGGAATTGGACAAAGGCGGTGCAGGGGGGGCACACGACCAGGTGGCACGACCCCCCCTAGGCCGCGCAGGGTGCCCGTGTGGGCCCCTGATAGCTCTTCCGGGGTCTCCCAAAGCTTAGTGTGTTTCTTGTTGCCCAAAATATCGTATTAAATCGGCAACTGATTTTGGCCTCCATAGTTATTGATTGGCCGCGAAGCCATAAACAAGCAGAAAATAGAAACTGATATTGCGAACTAAATTAATAGATTAGTCCACAAAAATAATATAAATTGCTATATAAGTATATAAAAATGATAGTATAATAGCATAAAACAGTAAAATTATAGATATGTTTGAGACGTATCGGCGGGCTATGCGTTGGGCATGGTACTCACGCTCTTCGGTGGCAAGCTCCACGCGACGCTTCGGCAGGAGCATCTTGTACCATGTGACCTTATCGCACACCATGGTGAACGATAAAACAGGAGGAGAAAAGAGGAAAATATGAGGCAACTAGTTCTGGTCCTTGCCACCCGGCTTTAATAGGTGCTGGTAGGTTCCTCGGGCGGTGCATCGACCAACATGCCTTGAATGTGGGCAGGAAACTAGTGAGCTCCAGTGCGGATGATGTTGGTTTTGTGTGGGTTTAGACTATCAATCTATCGTGACAAATGCGTCTGACCTGCCTCAAATTTTTTCCACACATGAACTGAGTTTGGGGGTGCAGACAACTTAGATATTAGACATATGGATTAGGAATGAGGCGGCTGAATACATTTTTGGGCCATGTCCAAATTGGTAGAGCATCTACAACCGGACCTGTCATATTGCCCCTACACGTCGGATGGCCTGGTCACTGACCGATCGCATTTTTGTGACCCAACCGAACCTCTCAAACTAGCCCTATGTGTCCGAGCTGTCCGACACCCCCATACCCAACCCATATGTGGGGCGAATATGAGGAGGCTCAGACGTGTCTGCCACATCGGATCCGGCCCCACTCTGTCCCATAAATACCCCATCTGGACCAAACCCTAGCCAGTCCACACACTCGATCACTCTACTTCGTTTCCACTGCTCGTCTCCTTCCTTCCCCTCCCCTCCATCATGTCCGGCTCCGGCAACCAATCTGGCAGCGCATCCCACAGTGAGTCTGATCCCGTCCACTGGGAAGGGTTCTTGGAGGAGGACTGAAGAAATAAAGGGTGAATTGGTCAGTCGGTGGTCGTATACAGTGCCAAATTTGACAATCGTGATTGTAGATGCTATAACCTATCTCTTCTACTACATGTAGTAGTACTTAAATAAGGCTAGTCCTGATGATTTTATGTTAGACAGGGATTAATTAAAAAGAGAGTTATGACTTTGTCTTATACGGTGGTTAATTAAGAAGAGAGATTCTGATAAAGTCACCATTAAATGAGAGATAGTATTGTTAAGAATCCTATCTTCCTGAAGAAGCCTCGGGTGCAACCGAAATCCAAACCCAACGCCTTGCCATGTGCGTCACTGTGTGTACTTTTGGGCAGGCTGGCCGCTGGCGGGTGGGCGTGGAAAGCCGTCGTCAATCCTCGCCGAGCACAGGAGAAAAGGCTGCTCCAATTGGCCCTGCCACCGAGGCCGCGGTCACGTGAAGCCCCTCTTCTGCCCTTCCTCCTCTTTCCCCACTCCCCACTCCCCCCCAACAGACCAAATTTCCCCTCCGCTCGTCTCCGCCATGCCTGGACTCTCCTGACCTAGCTAGCCGTGCCGTGCCGTGCCCCACAACCCCTCCGCCCCTCTCGCGCGCGTCGCCGCCGTCGCCATTACTCTTCTCCCTTTTCGCGGCATCGCGTGCCTCCACCCCGTCCGCAACCTCCGCCCGTTGGTTGGGTTTGGAGGTAACTTGGAGGTATGTTTCCGTCCAGCGATTAGTTAAGAAATCCCACTGACCTCCACAATGCGCACGCGGCACGCCGTCTAGATCCGCCACTGACCCAGCCGGTTGCTCCAGCCTCCAGCCTCCGCGGGCCGCCGAAGATGGGCTTCATGGGGGCGAAGCTGTTCCCGTCGTGCGAGAGCATGTGCGTCTGCTGCCCGGCGCTGCGCCCGAGCTCCCGCCGCCCCGTCAAGCGGTACAAGAAGCTGCTCGCTGAGATATTCCCCAAGACGCCTGTAAGTGCTCGCTTGTCGCTATTGTTGGCCGGCCTGGTTGGTTGCTGCTGCGGTCGTTGGATATGCTGTGCTGTGCTGTCTTCGATCTATAAGTGGAGCAATCCACATGTTCCTTAAACATGCTCCACAGAACGTGGCCATGTCACATGGTTATCTTCTGCCACTGTGTAATTGTTTTTTGCAGAATGCAGCTTCCGCTGTTGCTTGCAAAGGACACACTAATGCTCACACTTGATACTTCAGTATTAGGGCGTATAGTTGCTCATAGAGTAGAGTTTACCTTTGCAGGAGGGTCCACCAAATGAGAGGAAAATCATGAAGTTATGCGAGTATGCTGCCAAGAATCCCCTGCGCATTCCAAAGGCATGTGACCTTTGCATCATGCTTTCTCACATTTCATTGCTAAAGTATTCTTTAGGGGTCCTTGGTTAATCAATATTCAGTAGGTTTCCCTTCACTGCATGCTTGTCAGATTGCCAAGTTTCTGGAACAGAGGAGTCGCAAGGAACTGCGTGCTGCTCATTTGAACTATGTCAAGATAATCACTGAAGCATACAGCAAGCTACTCTTCATTTGTAAGGAGCAGATGTGAGTTTCTGAAATTCTTGGCTGCCACTCACGTTTTCTGTTCGAAAATGTTAATGGTTTCCGATGAAGCTTCGTGGCTAAAAAGTTATGTTACTGCATGCATGTGATGGTATAGGGCATATTTTGCCATCAGCCTGGTGAACGTCCTCACCGACCTTCTGGAAAGCAAGCAGGAGAACATTCATATCCTTGGATGTCAAACTTTCGCGAGGTTTATTTACAGCCAGGTGGGCATTATGATGGATCAGACACGCTTAAGAGTTATAAACATTGCATTTCAATCTGTTCCTCCTAATCATGAAAGGCTACTACTCGAGTCACTTTATTTATTTTTAGTTATGTATGACATTCACCATGTTGTCACATTCATAGGTAGACAACACATATGCACGGAATATTGAGAGCTTGGCCCACAAAGTGTGCACACTTTCACGGCAACAGGGAGTGGAGCATAGTCTTCTGCGGGCAGCAAGCCTACAGTGTCTCTCAGCAATGGTAAATCCATAAATGTGGCTTTGCAGCTTTCTTTCTTCATTTTCTGTTATCTTCACATTTCCAGGTAATTTGTTTGAATGTCCAGTTCAGTTAACTATTGTAATGCTCGTGCAGATCTGGTTTATGAAGGAACATTCATACATATTTGCTGATTTTGATGAGGTAACTACAATCAGTTCTTTTAGTTGCATTGCTCCATTGATCATTACTTGTGGCTGTGGAGAATCAAAGGAGATTAAGCTTGTTTCTTGGATAGTTGAGTTCCAAATTGCTCAGCCTGGTTGCTTGCTTAGTTGCTCGTTTGCACCAGGTTATTACCAATAGAATGCTTGTGTGGTCATAAAGAACACAATTATTTATCTTGTCTTCTGCAGACTGCAAACGTTGTTGACTTATCCAGTTTTTTAATGATTTCTGTTTTGACTTCTAGTAAAATGGTTATATCATGGTACATAAGAATTCAGTTGGTTCCGTTATGGTTTCTCTATTTCGTTCGGGGAGTTTAAACTTCGTGTGCTGTTTTGTTTGATAAGCTCTTGAAGAACGTTTATATTTCTCAAGTTTAATGTAATGATGGATGTTGACAATCTAACTCTCTTTGACGTGACAGATGGTGCAGTCGGTCTTGGAAAATTATAGGATGGATGGAACTGCTGGTGGTGATGATGACAGACATGCATCACAGCATAACTGGGTTGATGAAATAGTCAGGCGTGAGGGAAGAGCTGGTTTAGGTGGAGGTAATGATGTAAATTTCTGTAGTGCAACAACTACTAGACTGCGATCAGCAAGGGACTCTTCAGCACTGACCAGGTGAAGTGTCATTCTCATTTATATATACTCGCTATAGCACTTTTTCTTTTCCCTAAATTTAGTGCAGAAAAAAAATGCATGCTGGTGCACATCATACACACTTTTACTGCATTGCAACCTTTCAGTTCATTTTAGTTCTGTATGGTGTCTAGCAATAGTGCATGTCATTCCTTTTCATACTTTGAAGGGTACATACATGCTAGAAGCCTATAACTGAGGTTCAGATACCACACTTAATAGTGTAGGTGTCTTTCAACTTCTACTGACAACTTATTTGTGTGACTAATGTGATCTTGCTATCAAGTACATGCACATTGCACTGGAGATGCAGAAAAAGAACACGAAAACATTGAAGAAAATTTCCTTTTGAAGCATAGCAGATTATAATATAAATAAGTCAAGTATGTTTTTTCACTGGTTAATCCATCAATCAAGGGATGAATGGGAACTTGGCAGCAGGAGTAATGGCCTTGAGAATGACCGTCCAACCTATATTTTGTGACATGTTTGATTCTGCTTCTTTTTAATATTCGAACTCAGATGAACCCAACATATTATGATTCATTTGAATGACTATGCAGGGAGGAGCGCGAATCTCCAGAAGTATGGTCCCATATTTGTGTTCAGAAGCTTGCAGAACTGGCCAAAGAGAGTACAACTATGCGACGCATCCTTGATCCAATGTTTTCTTACTTTGATATGAAGAAACAATGGGCTCCTCGGCATGGATTAGCTTTGCTTGTCATGTCTGATATGTCTTATCTAGAGAAGAGTTCAGGTAAATTTTTGTTCCCAAGAAGATTTTGAATTTTGTACTATCAAAATAGTAAAAATACGTAGGTCATGTTATGCTATATATGAGCTTTCTATTTATTCTTCTAATTATATGGCATGCTATGAAGATCCTTTTCTTTCTAGTAATAGAGAAAGTGTCGACAATTTTCTTGCTGTTCCATACTTCCAATCTATTTAGTCATCTTTGAGCAAACACTATGTTTGGCGTTTTCAATTGTTGAATGCATTATAAGTCTTCTTATATTGCTGTGATTGCTCGTTTCTCGGTAGATCGTGACCCATTTTCTGACGGAATACATTTGCAGTCCACAGTGCACTTTCCTTTCCTGTTTGCAACATATTCAAGGGGTTTCCTTGTCTGCTAAAGCGCTAATACTTTTTTTTTTCTCATAGGCAACGAACAATTGATTTTGACTGCTGTCATCCGTCATCTGGACCACAAGAATATTTTGCATTGTCCTCAGACTAAATCTGATATTATTCAGACAGCAACATCTTTGGCACGACAGCTGCGATCACGAGGAGTTGCTCCTGAACTTGCAGTAACAGGTGACTTGTGCAGGCACTTGAGGAAAACACTAGAGGCCATGGAGTCAGCCAGTGTTCAAGAGCTGAGCTTGAATGAGTCTCTTCAAAATTTCCTGGAGGGCTGTCTTGTTGAAGTCGTAAGAGGAGTATGTCCCACACTATTCCAGTTACATGCTAACATTTGTCAACTGCCGTGGATGTTTTTAGTGCATCTTTCTTAGAAATTTGCAACTGCGAGAGCTTTGACGCTAAAGAGTTACACTAGTATATAGTTTTATACATACATTTCCTTCACTTTTGTTAATTTTTTGGAACTTCTTATAGGTTAAAGATGTGCGGCCACTTTATGACATGATGGCAATTACATTGGAGAATTTGCCTTCTATTCCTGCTGTTGCTAGAGCAACTATTGGAAGTTCGCTGATACTTTGCCACATAATCTCTTTGACATCAGTATCTTCGGACGCTCCTATGGTCAGTTCTGAATTTATACTATGCACTCATCAAATAATTTCTAAATTAATAAACGGTGATGTGATGAAGTTCAGAAACTGTGCATTCTCTTCTTCACATCAAATAATTTATTGCATTGAATGCTGTTCATCGTTTGCAGAATTCTACTCCGTGATCAGTTGGCTACTTCTGCCATTCTTTGCTGAGTTTTTAATCTAACTCTTCTTAGCAGGTGTTTCCGGAAGCACTCCTCCAGCAGATATTGAGATCCATGGTACATCCAGATGCAGACACTCGTGTGGGGGCGCACCACATATTTTCTGCTGTAATTGTCCGAGGCCCAAGCCATCAGAGGGGTGATTCAGAGTACCTATTTGCAACAAAAAAGTGTCAATCTCGATCACCGTCAGTGTTTGCTTCAGCTACTGCTCTACTTGAGAAGTTAAGGAGAGAGAAAGAATGCTTAGGTTCAGATAAGCCTGGACATATGATGCATGATGATGGGAAGGAAAGAAACACCCATGAAGAGGATAATAAGCATGTTTGGGCACGAAAAAGCCCGGCTTATTTTTCAAAGTTGGTCTTCTCTTTCATCGATCGATGGGCAACACTAGCTAGTTCTGCTGAGGTAACCCAGTCCTGCCCCGTCCACCCCCCCCTCACCCCTGCAAGGGCCCTTGTTTTGTTGCGATGTATTACCTCCGTTCCATATTAGTTGACGCTCAGATGTATCTAGACGTATTTCAGTGCTACATACATCCGTTTGGGCGTCAACTAATATGGATCGGAGTGAGTATATATTTTTGGGTCTGGTTGGATCACGATACACAACTCATTAATCATGATTACTGAAGAAAAAACTTTTGACCCATCTTCCAGGAAACCAAAATCGTCCTGTTAACTGAAGATCAAACAAATCAATTGCTGTCTGCGTTTTGGATACAGGCCAATCAGACCGATAACACTCCTTTTAATTATGAGGCCATTGGTCATTCATACAGCCTCACAGTTCTTTCTTCCCGCCTTAAGGTACGAGTTCCTTTTTAAACCGTATTTTTGAAGTTTTCAAGTATATCCATGAAGAATTTATCAAGTTGTTCTCATTTTCCTCATTTTGGGGTAGCATTTTTTCTTTCATAAAGAGATACTTAGTCATGTCAATGGTCTCATCTTCTCTTTATGCTGCAAGAAATATATCCTTGCATACTATGGAAGGTCATATTATCTTGGCTCAGTAAAATTTCCCATGTTGAAATAGTGGTTTTGGTGCTGCAGAATTCAAGCAACAGTAATAACATTCAGTTCTTCCAGTTGCCTCTGTCCCTCCGAAGTATTGCTTTAACTCCAAGTGGTAGGATCTGCATAATACTAAAATTTATGATTGCCTGTTTCCGCATCCACATCTTGAAGTTCACTTATCTTATATGCAATTTTTCCAGCAGGCCTGCCCCCTTCTTGCCAACGGTCTATTTTTTCCTTAGCAACGAGTATGCTGGCTTTTGCTGGAAAAGTCTGTCATATTGTTGAATTGGCAGAGTTGCTAAGGTGTTTTACCTCATCCAATGTAAGTACTCAGTTGTAGTACAGAAACTATTAAGATACCTCTGTTTTGTTTTTTCATGTGAAACTTTACTTCAGTTTTCTCAAAAGAAGAAGTATTAGCTCTAAGGTGTTTTACATTATCTGGTGTAAGTTCTAGTACATATGCTATACTCCTATTATGTTTCTACATGTGAAACTGTACTTCAGTTTTATCTAAATAAACGTATTACTTCTAAGGTACTCCCTCCGTCCCAAAATAAGTGTCGCTGATTTAGTACAATATCTGATGTAAATCCTAAGTTCTACTACAGATGCTAATATGATACTCCTATTATGTTTCTTAGGTGAAACTTTACTTTGTTTTTTTTCCAAAAAAATGTATACTTGCAGTATTTCTTGTGTGCAGCAACACAATGTATTTCTTGTGTTCGTACTAATGTTCATTGGTGTGCCTCACTTTAATGGTAGCTCTCTTGTGGCCTTCTGTGCCCGTTGCCCAATTATCTCTTCGATAACTTTTGTTTGTTCTACTCCCTCCGTTCATAAATAAGTGACAGTATTTAGCAAATATAAAATTACCTTCAATTTCCTGAACGTTTGCTAAAAACTATGTTATCAATTTTTTTGCAGATTGATTCTTATCTAAGAATTGGTGAAGATTTGCAACTCTATGTAAGGTTGCAATCGGATCTTGGCAGCTATGGCTCTGAAAGTGATCAAGACATTGCTAGGTCTGTACTTTCTGATTGCAGAAAGAAAGTGGGGATAAATGATCATCGAGTGCTTGATGTGATTGCCTGTGCACTTTCAAATTTAACAGAGGTTAGTCCTGTGAGAATGGTTCAATTTTGTCATCTATTTGCTGTTGACACTGCATTTTATGGTCCTAGTGAGATCATATACTGATGCTGTTGGAAGTGAAGGCAATGTACTATTTCATAATGTTCTTATAACTGCGTTATCAGATGGACAAGGATGCATTGGCGAAGGAGCTCACAGAGATGTTTACTCCTGAAGAAGTTCCCTTGTTTGGTTCAAATTCAGTCCTTGACTGGGCCAACTTTCACGCGCAGGCATTTTCCGATGAATCCCTTTCTTTTGATGAGGTATGCCACTTACACCAAATGATCCTTATAGCGCAAATTTTGTTAGGTGTTGGCACTTGCAAAAGTTTGCAATACTGCAATGTTCCTTCTTGTACTGTACGTTGCCATCTTTAAAATGTATTTTTACATCTTCTCACATGTGTCCTTTTGCATTGTAGGAGTGTTCAAGAACATCTTCGGTAGATGGTGGATTGCATGACTCACCAATTACAAATACTGCTAGCTCCACATCCAAGATTACGCTTCCTCATTCCGCTCCCCGTGTCCTGGGTGTTGGTCAGCTGCTTGAATCGGTGAGTACCTGTTGTGAAATTCAGCTGCTGTTGCACACGGTGACACGGTTTACTACTCGGTTGTTGGCTCATAGTTCTTGTGTGGTACCTGTTGTGAAAATACATGTCACTGTCCTAAACTGACTGTATTGCCGTGAACCAATTGGCTTCTCTGTTAGGGTGATTTTTTGTTTTGGACACCCAATGTTGAATTCCTGGATCCGCCACTGCACTAGCCCCCTTTCACTTGCTACCTCTGTTTCAGTGTTCACATTTTCTTGTGTGGTAAAGCTAGTATAACCACAGCAAAACATTGTTATACTTCGTTTTTGCATTGGGTTCTGAGTAGTAGACTGTTTCTCTGGTCAGGCGCTGCATGTAGCTGGCCAGGTTGCAGGGTCATCCGTTTCTACCTCCCCCCTCCCATACGGCACAATGACTAGTCAATGTGAGGCCCTGGGATCGGGCACCAGGAAGAAGCTATCAAGCTGGCTCGTGAATGGCCACAGCTCGACTCCAGACAATCCTGTGCCAAGCCTTCCCGCTGCCGATCGTTTCATCCTTCCTAAGGTATGAAGATTCTACAAAGCCCAACCGGTTTGCTCTGAATCTTGTTTTCACTTTCACTAACAACATTTGTCCAGGTAAATTCCTGTGGCTTCGAGATCAACCGCACGTTATCGGAGCCGTGCTCCATGGTGAAGCTTCCACCGGCCAGCCCATTCGACAACTTCTTGAAGGCAGCTTATCGCACCCCGCAGGAGATGTGATTACCCTTGCGGATCACAGCTAGCCGTCGGAAGAAGTGCTAGACTGTAGTATCTAAGCACCGAACACTAGTTTGTGTTAATGACTTGGCCTCCTGGCTGCGAGTAACGTGGTATCAGTTGTTGTAGGGTATGTATGACCACGTGTATCTATCTATGTACTAAAACGGTTGTAGCGTGTGTGATCATGTGCATCGCAGTACTAGACGACTGCAACCTAGCGTGTCGTGTCTGTTGTCTGTAGCGAGAAGACTTGTGATCGAGACTAATGCCATGATCTGGGCATCTCTCCATTTCTTGTCCGTGTAGTCTAGAACGAGAAACAACAAAGCAAAATACGCCCGTTGAATCGTGGGACGGAGGGAATCACAGATATGCCGAATCAGGTATCAGCTACTGCACGTTGTATATTTGAGCAGCAGTCATTTCCGTGTATATGCTGAAATGGGGTTACACAAGTGCAATGCTTTAAACACGATTTTTCACACCATTTGGAAGGACATTTCTAAATTGTTAAAAAGCATGCGCGAGTTCAGGACATGCTTCATTGATGTCTAACTTTTCCACAACTAATCATGTGCACACAACATGTTTTTTTTTCGATGAACAGGGGAGACCTCTCTCCGGTTCCATTAACAAGAATGAAACCAAACAAAATCTGTTCTTACATCCCAACCGAAGTTCAGACGGTTCAAACTTATTACAGACACGTGCATCAGTGAAGCTGATGCCTAGATCGAAAATACAGAGAAATAAAACGAGCCAGGAGAGACTAGGCTTCTAAAACTCAGGATTTTCAACAGCATCCAGCGGGGTAGTCGAGAAACATTGCGATCTCACCCCCACCCCTCCTGAACTTGAGCGGCGGCGCCAGAGCAGCTTGGGGCGACCAGCAGATCGCGAGGATGGACACGGGGCTGTTAACCGTGGTTTTGTCGTCGATGTCTCTCTTTTTGGCAGGGGAGTGGAAACTCCCGTCTTCTGAGATCTTAAAGTTGCCCCAGCTTGCGCCAACGTCAAACCTTGTGTTCTTCATTTTCCGCCACTCAAGATCATCAAAGGGTTATTGGAGCAGTTTTGCCAGCGCGCCCAAGAACGATTCCACCTGGTTTTTGCTTGCTTCGGGGTCAGTATCACCCAGAATTTGAGCATTCTGCGAATCAGTCCCCACACCTGAGTAATAGACGTCCAGATGGTGTTGTTAAAAATCATAGAGTTTCTATATTTTCATAAACACCACAGGACAACAGAGCTAACTACATTCAAAGCTAAATGTTTTTTGTTAGAAATCCAGAAGCGAGCCACAGGCTCAAAGTTTGTGCCCAAATCCTTTTGGAAAAATTGACTGACAAAAGACCAAATACTCCTGGTTACAACACAGTCAAAGAATAAGTGATGATTTATCTCATGTTCAGCACAGAAAACACATTCTAATGGTTTAATTATGTGCCTTTTCCTCAGGTTGTCTCTGGTCATAAGCTTGTTTTGAGAAAATAACCAAAGGAAAACATGGATTTTGGGTGGCACTGCCAGTTTCCAAACCGTAGGCAGGAACAGAGGCTGCACACCTCTAAAGTTAATCACATGATACAAAGAACTAGAAGAATAGACTCCTTTGCTTTCAAGCTGCCAGATGAGAGCATCAGAGTCATTGTTGAAGTTAATCTCTTTAGCAATCTGTTCGCACACGAACACGTCATCGTGTACCCTCGACGCCGAGGGTGATGCACCGCAGCTCACGTCGAAGGAGACCCGGCCGGAAGCGCGGTACACAGGCAACCCGGCGGGCGCTTTTGAAGACCCGAAACCCCGCACGCCCAGGAGGGACCCCGTCTGGACGCGCGGCGGCTATGGGCTGCCCTAGGTCGACCTGATCGCCCCTAGGGCCTCGAGGTTCGCCGCCCTGCAAAGAAGAAGAACAGGACGAAGAACGAGGAAGGAGAAGAACTAGGGTTAAGGAGAAAAGATAAAAGATAAAAAGTGGTAGATGAATTGATCGATTGTGTGTTGTTTAATTGGCCGTCACCTCTTAGTTATATAAGAGGCGGCTGGACTTCCCGTGCAAGGAAAAGGCTTGGATTCACGTCCAAAACCCTACTCAAATTCGGATTGGTTTTGTCAGAACTTTCCAAAACTGTTCGGTTTAAACTGGCTGCACCTTGCGGGTCCTTTTTGTGGTGGTAAACGATCTCGGATGAAAACGAGCCCAAAAGAAGTCTTGACCGTTTCGACGAGACAAACAACTTTCATATTGAACGTTTTTCGATTTGAGGCCATCTTCTGGGCCAAAACGGTCACGCAGAATACCTGTTCGCTCGCGCTACCCATCAGACCTATGTCTGGTGGGGCGCGCCACATCTCGCCTCGTGACAGGGCTGCACTTCGATAGCTCTAACTTTTGCATACGAATTCGGATTGGGACGATTTTTATATCAAACTCGACTGTTTCGACGAGACGAAGACAATTTGTGTTGATCATTTTTCCATATGAGGACATCTTAATTGGGTTTCAAGAAATTCTTTAATCTGGTGTCAACATGAGCATCTCTGAAGTTGTCATAACTTTTGCATCCGAACTCCATTTTAGACCATCTTCATATTCATCTTGATCTTCTCGAAGAGAGCCATCTCATAGTGACTTTCAATAGTAAGTTTGAATTACTCTTGACATAGCTTCAAGCCATTCTTTATAAATGTGCCACTTTTGAGCGTCAACATATGTCCCCCTGTTTTTCGGCAAAGCTAGCGTGCCAAAAAATAACTTGTACCAAGTTTGTTTTAAGGACGATGTCAACACTCCATCGGATGTCCTTAGGACGATAAGTATATATCGACCATGTCTTATGTGAACTTTCTGATGCAAACTTGGGTGAAACCTTCTCAACTTCATTAACAATCCGGTGATAAAGTACCATAGATATGTCTCAAGGTCATCCTCCGAACCATATTGTTCATCCTTTTGCTAGGATTTTGTAGATAATCAACAATACTTTCTCCAATCCTTACTTTCGCCTGCTTAAAAATTTCATTAGTGGCCGAAGCTATGGACTTCGGTTCGACCTTACCTATACTGACGAGACTAAGCATCGACTATTGAGAGAAATGCAATACAACATGATTAACATAGTAGCCGGATGTTTGCTGTGCCAATTCTTTCAAATTGTCATGTCTAAATATATGAACAATTTTAAACCAAACCAAGGTAAATTTTGCATCTAGACATATCCCAAGATAAACTATGAGTGATTCGTCAAAACATTGATAAACCCGGAATATTTGTTGCACTACTCATAACGAATCACCGAAAGACTTTGTATGTATAGCACCTATAGCAAGTAAAAGACTCAATCCGAATAACAATGCATATTCGGCTTTCATTAATCGTGCATAAAAATATTCTAAGAGGCATGGGGCTTAAAAAATAGTACCATAAAGAAATATATAAATAAGACCAACACTTTGGCCATTGCTACGAATTGAACCATCAAAACATAATCTCCATAGTACTAGAAAGACAAGGCTAATATCAACATTATGCATGTCATTAATCCGATGTTTAGTAATAAAATCAGTTATGATTTGGCCTCTTATAGATCTCAGAGATGCATAAGCCAAATCATATCCAAACAAAGTATAAGCCCAGTAGCCAATTCTGCAACTATGAATTGGCCTATGCAGCATATATTCAATGACATCGGTCACTATGTCCCAACTCCATTCAATCATAATATAGGCATACATATAAATTTCCATGAGCACGTACCTTGTCTCGCTCTCCAATCGAACTAAGGACGATGTTAGAATACTGCACCGGCCATGTATTGACATACTCTTAGGACGATCCATTACCATGTAAACTTCATTCAAAACACATACAGCCGAAATAAACAAATGAAATGACAAATCAAGTATTTCGGCCCTTTGGATCAGCAACAAACTTGTAGCTGATCAAATGTATAGTGACTTGGTAATACCCTTTCATGACGTAAGAAATTATATTGCATCCATGTATTAAAATAAGCCCATTGAGGGTTACCAATCATACGTGATGAAGAATTCCATGGCATAGGCGTTAATGGCATAGTTGAAGAATATGGATAATGTGTAGACCAAAGATGTTGAAACTTTCGGCTTGGTCCTTCATAGTTTTCACTCCTTTCCTTCTTCACTTTTGCCGCACTTCTTGTAATGGAAGCTTGCACATAATTCTTATTTTGAGCACTTCCTTTGGGAACCCACACCATGTTCCTTTCTTCAAGTTCTTGTGCACTAAATTTTTGTAATTTTTTCTTTTGCCAATACGATAAGCTGAGCAGGCATCTCGGTTGTGATTCTGTTTTGACCAATGGCAATTTCTTTTTGGCCTTGTGCACTCTCAACTTCTTTTCTTGTGATTTGGCACTTCGACTCTCAATAATTGGTTGCTTTGTCTCATTGTCTTTACTAGCCAATGTCAACACATTAATTCGCTATTTTTCATTTGAGATTAAATCTGAAGTTGCACTCTTACGACCATCTCTTTTAACACGGTAAACTTGCTTGACCACCTCTTTCTTCTTCCTTGAGCTCTGCACTGATTCCTTATGGTTGAAACGGTCTTTAACATGTGATTGTTCAAATGTTGATCTTCTTGGAGCTGCATAATATTGGTGAGATGGTCTAAAATAAGATGGAGAATGTGCCCTTGTATCATACCTGTCCCATGAGGAATATGGATCTATATGAGCATAGGGAGGCATCCACAACATTGGCATTGGCGGCCCAAAATAAGGATATGAATATGTTGCATTAAAATTCTCACTTTGCCAATACCGATCCTCATATTTGTGCCTTGGGGGTGATCTTGGTTTCTTTGCATGATTTGGCCGATAAGCATTCTTCTCTTCAATCTTCTTTTGATATTTATCCAGTAGTTCAACGAAGGTCATTTTTGATCTCTTACACTTGCGCTTATTTCGGCCTTTGTTTTTTTGGTTTGCTTTCATCGATCATTGGATTTTCTT